TTTGGGACTCACATAACCAGGAATCTGCGGCACCACAACAGATTCGCACAGGCCAGTATGCCTTTGCATTATGCAGCATAGGCACTGCCGAACGCGAGATTTTAATACGATGTATTATGCTGGAAATCTTATTTCAGCTTGTCATCATGCTACACACCCAAAAGAGCAGCTACATCTCATGAGAAAAAAGGAGTGAAAATTTTTGCCATGCACACATGGAATGTGCAAGACCATAAGACATGCTGTTTGTTCATCACAATAAAGTAAAATGGAAACCTACTCTGATGAAAAGTCTCCCTGTGTCGTGTTAGATACGCACGCTGGGAGAAACACTTCCCACACTTACGACACTGGTAGGGGTCCACATCTAACGAATTGCAAATACATCAATCAAATCAAGGGACAATCGGACCTCTCATTAGATTTTACTTAATATATGTTTTGGCAAAGTGTTTAGGGGGCGAACTAAAGTGATCAACTTGTCCAGGAGACTAGACTTCATTCACTCATATGGACGTGAACGCATATATAGGTTAAGTGCAAAAGAATGCAGAAAATTAGGCTGAAAAACACACAGAAAACAGGGATGCAGATGTAAAACTAACATGCTATCTTGGGCAGGGACTGCCCACCGGGAACACGCACCATCTTGTAAACTCGCCTTGAGAAGTGAAGTGTAAATAACTACAAATCTAAACAAAAATGGAGAAAAATGATTTAACCATTCACTGTAGCTAGCTTGTTGAGAAGTGGTGTGTAAATAACTATGCATCTAAACAAATCTCAATAAAAAAAATTAATCAAACTTTGAGACAAACTTTTAAGTTAGAATTAATCAAAGAAAGACGCGTTGGTTTATTAATTTTTGCCTTTGTCTCCATATTTGATCGGTGCCTTGTAAAGTGGGGACAGTAAATATAATGCAGTGGTGCCAAGTGGCTCCATCTTCCGTCCATTGTCGCATAAGATAGAGTAGTGCATGCTACATGCAAATCTCTACCATCCAAAACAGCTTCGTGAGAACAGTCACCGTACTTCATTGCAGACATTAGAGCAGTCAACTCATCCTCTGCTTACACTAGCACTATCGCAAGTATTCATTGCTTGAGCCATTAGTGAGACCCTCACTAGCACATCCATCATTGCACTGCCTCAGGATTAAAAATATATTTACCTAAAGAGATTATAATGATCAGTACCCAGGAATGCAATTGACGACAACGCTCAAAGTAATAATGCGTTGAGACACTCAGTCGGATTTTAAACACTGTTAGGCGTAAGGATC